GAGGGTTAAAGAATAAAACTAATCAAATTGGATAAAAATAGTGAATCCGCCATGGATGAGCTAAAATTAGCTCTATATGTACTGTAATTGTTTTATTGTTGTATAATCTAATGAAAAAGAAAGAGGATCCAGATCTTGAAACATTTCTCTTCAAATCTCTTTCATCATTCAGTTTTGTTTTGGTAATGTGGATCTTTCCAAGAATGCAACGTTTTAAGATATTACCCAATCAAAGTCTCAAAAAGTTTCCATTTTGAACCAAGAGATATCAAAATTGAAAAGAAAATCTCTAATTAGGGTGAGATATTATTGTTAGTGAATTGGTAATAATGATGTAGAATCTATTATTAGCAAAAGTATTTCACTTTTTTTATAGGGATGCTTTGATGAAAATCATGTGTCTATCCATGTTATTTATTACAACTAACAGTGGAGTTTTATGTAACGTATACACCAAGAAACAAGAGTTACATCGAAAATTTTGGAATTTTCTTTTGTGATGAAAAAAATATAATATCTCTATATCTTGTTGTTGGTAATGTTCGAAAAATTGATTTTGTTGAACCAAGTTAGGGTTCTTATTTCAAAATATTCTGCGCTCGTTAATACATATATTTCCTTCAAGATTTTAGTTATAAGTAAGAATTCAGTAGAATTCAAAAAGTCTGAATTTGAAATCCGCGAATAATAAGAGTTTAAGATTTTTAATACCCTTACGGTTTTTTTTTATTTTTAGATACCGATTATATTGAAATAACCCTTTTAGGCAAGAACCAAGCCATCATCACGTGAAAAGATAGAGCCACAAATCATTAAGCATCAAAGAACTATGTTAATACCTTGGAAGGATTCGAACCATAAGTATAGGTAACTTCGATCGTCATGTCTTTGCGGAGCCGTAGCGATAACTGGGTCATCTCTTGTTTCTTCAATCCTTATTGATTTGTATGTTCCCTCCTTGTCTATAGAGATCTTGAAGGTTTAAGTATACGAGTAAAACTTAAAGAGTATTCGTGTAAAACTTAAAGAGTATTCTTGTAAATTAATACATCAGACGCTCTATTATTTGACCATCACGTATAAGTTATAACACAATGGTTTAGATCTAGTCTTGATGATAGGTGGTAAATCCCGTACCATCAATTATTATATATCTTCAAAAACAAATATTTAGTATCATCATTTTTAAAGAAATTCGGTAACTCGAGATCGATGACTACAAAACCCATTACGTCCCAATAGTGGTTACAGAAAGCATTTCTCAGATAACAATCTTCGAATTTTTTTAATAAGAGTTCTCATAAGAAACTTGAAAACACGCTACCATTATATAGTTCACCTATCATGTTCAATTTGAGTTTCATTTCGGTTGACTTTTGAGTTTTTATAGGTAAGATAGTTTAACAATTAATATGAAATCAAATCTATTTTAAATTGGCTTGGATTAGTTCGTAATAGTATTCGATTGGCATGCCCTTCATTGGAACAATTCAATGAAATTTCAGATTTTTGGAATATATTTTCACGATAATTCACGTGATTCGTTTTTGGATTTGGTTGTCTGAACATAAAATGGTATAAACTGAATGTTAATTAA